CCCCTAAACCCGAAACCCGAGGCCCCAAAAGTCCCGGAAGCCCTCAGCGGTGCCGAAGCTCCCAGACGCCCGCAGGCGCCAAGCCTAAAATATCACCCAACCGCCTTCTGAACGAAGCCCGGAACGAAGCCAAGGACGACCTGCAGTCGATCGTGGTGGAGTCTGCCGAGCCTTTTCTTACTAAATCGGGGTGGTTAGGTGAAGGAAGCTGAATCAGGAGATGAGGAAATCTGGTGCTGGAATTCCCTGTGCTCTATACTCTACTTTAAGGGCAGGAGGATCCTCCTGTTACCACTTTCGGGCTTCCACTTTTATGCCGGGAGAAAGGACGAGGGAAGCAAGAGCATGGTTTTTGGTTTCGGATGTTTTTGTCGCTGACCGCCGGCTGCCGGGCCTCCACCTTATTAGGCTCTACAGCAAGCTTGAAAGCCCAAGCATCCCAAACACGTCCAACACCAAAAACCAAAACGCCAGAAAACCCTTTCAAATCTTCAAGCCCAACACCTCAACCCTATAGACCCCAGGCCCCCCTAACCCAGAATCCTAAGCCCCAAGCTACGAAGCAGAATCCATTCGAGGAGCGGGCGCCCTGGCTCGACGGCTTCGTTTCTGCGGGGCTCCTGGACGTGGCGGCCACTGGGCGGTGCTTGAATTTCACTCAGCTTCGGTAGTGTATTATGAATATACTGAAGTCTGTGAAGTGTGTACTTCTTGTCAATATAGTGTACGAAATGCATACCATGGTACTTTAAGAGCATATTCTGAGTACAAATTGTTTACAGAATATCAAGGCCGTTATCGTGCTTTCTCTTGACATGTTCTTGGTACTTCGTTCAAGAATGAGCACCGACATTTATTCATACACACGTATTGGACATTCGATATTCTGTGTGTGTATATATAATTTATATATATATATATATAGAAAGACCTCTACAAATATTTATTTATTTGGTTTCGGTATACTATTTGTTATAGGTATACACAAAAAACTTTTAACCGGCCTGCAAGATGAACGAAGGCTATGGTCTCGAAGGCAGAGTCCAGGAACTGGATTCGTCTCCAGGAGATGGAAGTTTGCGTCTTTGACTGGGCGGGGGCTTGGTAGGTGTAGTTGTTTTGCGGTGGGTGGATGGTTTCGGGCTTCTGGCGTACAGTTTTGGTCCTCGGAGCTTACCGTAAGGCTTTTCGTAAGGGGTAAAAAGGGGTTTGCACATCGCAAAGCATCGGAAGAGCAAAACCCAAAACCTCTTTGAGGAGCCTTCGGGTGGCTGGAGAGATCCAACGGGCACACTGGCTCGCATCTCGGTGCCGGCCAACGGCGCCGTGTCCTTGGGGGTGGCCCGGTCTCCTTATCACTGAAGAGCTTCCCCACCACCCCTATCTCTGTTTTTCAGTAGTGGGATTCAGTTTCCTATTTAGGCCGCGGAGTCGAAGCATGTTCTGGGCTGCCTTGAGCTCCTGGGGTTGTCTGAGCTTTCCTGATGCTGAGTGCATGGGTCTTTAGAAGGGGGTTCCATATCAGAAGCCTGAATGATGAGTAACACCATTCCCTAGGGTTCCTTACAGTATTCATACCATGACGAACTAACCAACCCCTTTCAACCTTTGAACAGTCAATGGCCTCGTATAGAATAGCCTAGGTGGAGATCGGCCATGAATTCCTCGGGGTTGGCGTCTACCAGGCTCGGTTTTCAGTGAGGCCTCGGGTTTGGGGGCTTATGGTTTAGGCTNNAGGCTTTAGGGTTTAGGGTTGAGATAAATGTTGATCGAATTCCGAGCCCAAGCTGGGGATAGTGCAACGAGTTCCTGACTCTGCGGATCTAGATGTGTCCCGGTCAGGCCCAGATCAACATCGACTGGGGAGAGGGCAAGGAGGATTGTGAGGAGAAGGTGCCAGTGCAGTATGTGCCTTGCCTGGCCTAACAGCCGGGATTCTTCTTGTTCCTCTGACCATAAGAAATACTGGTCTTCATAGCGCCGCGCCACTTGGGGGTGTCGCTGTATCCAAGGAGATACTTGGCACGCCTTTCCTGCCGTCCACGATCTTTGCCGGCACGCTGGAATTCGGGACGGTCCCTGTCGGAGGAGAGGGGCGACGCACCGTGCCTTGGAATGCCTTTATGAGTCTTAGTGCATTCAGGGAAGAAAGAGGAGAGATGCCGGGATCAAACCAAAATAAAGGTGCCGTGATTTATGGTTCAGAGCCCCACGACAAGGGCCCCATGCCCCCTCCCATTCGCCTCCTCCTCGCAATACTGTAGAAAGCCTTGGCCCAAGAGCGGCAGTCTACCATACCGATTGCCACCCACGAAGATGACGCCCAAGCCGGAGGTGCGGATCTGGAACTTCGGAAACGGCACTGCCCGAGCGCAAGTCATGCCACTGGCGGTCCCCTTCGCAGGACCGACTATGGAGGCTGAGAGGGTGCTTTTCTGATCTTTTCTGTGTCCAACATGTTTCTTGGGATGCATCAGGGTCTCCATCCACGTCAGCGTAATTCGAGACATGCCCGTGCAGCCGGTTAAGTGCCGGCCGCGGATTCATGTTTTTTTAATCACGAGAGCCATTTCTGTTCATCTGTTGGCGCCTCCTGTCAGTCCACTGGGGTTGCCGCCTCACGATGCTGCAGGTTTCTGTGGAGCCACACCAGTCCGCGGACGTCGTGATCACATGTCGCCCACGTAGCACGGGCACCTACGCCGGCACAGCAGCTCGAAGATCGTTAGACTGTTTGGGTTTGGTCCCACGATTGGCCAGCCGTATCCAAGATTGGTTGTTCCAGGTTTGGGTGTAGCAGATGCGTGGCCGTTGCCGGATGTCAGGTAAGCTTTATGCCAGACGTGGCAGAGACTGAAAACCAGGAATCCTCACTAAAATCATGCCAGCAACACCTGAGCCTGCGCCTCAAACATGAGAGACTCTCTCTGGACAAAGCATCACCTTAAACCACATTCTACACCCGAACCATCCCGAACCGAAACCTTGCCCGCCTCATTCCTGCATTCGCCCAAAGTGCCTGTCCGAGGTGGAGTTCAAGACGAATTCTGGCCTCACTGCGTTACTAGGAGCAGATACGGGGAGGTTAGGGGTTTGAACGTGTAGGGCTTTGTAAGGAGTTTGGGGTCCCGGCTTTAAGATTTAGAGTTTCAAGTGTTAGGGCTTTAGGGTTTAGTTTCCCAGCAGAGGCTCCTGCAGGCTGGATGCAAAAAAAAGGGTGCAAGCTTTTGTCAATGTGCGTGATGCCCACTGATTTTGCACACGTTCCGGGCAGAGGGAGCTCCCTGGGTTTAGGGTTGCATGGGCGCTTGCCGGCAC